CAAGGTATTGGACTTGGCAAAGGTTAACTCTTGTCTAAAGACCAATAGTCTTTGCGGTTGCATTGCTATTAGGATTTTACTTCTTCAAAATGGAAATGATCCTAGCTCCGTGTCTCAGTACTGTGGAGCAGGAAGTTTCTGTAGTTCTTGGTATAGCATGAGTCCGCATTGTTTAAAACTTGAGTGGATACATATGGTCAGATTTTTCAGTGTTCTATTAACTTTAGACTTTTTGCATGTAATGTACCTTCAGTAGACCTGGACACCAGGTGGCTAAAAGGCTATATGGAACTCTGCTTTGATCAAAAGGACTGAAGCTTAGACAAATAACAACCTCTTATCTGACCTTTTGCAGTGGGAAAAGAGGTTTTCCTTCAGAAAAGTACATAGCAAAAGTCTAAACTTCTAGCAACTGAAGTTTAGAGCATGTTTGCCTTCTTTCTTGCTTATTGTAAGTGTAGGAAATGAAGAGGTAGCTGCTTATGTCAAGTTGGGAAGGAAACAAACCACTGGCAAGGCTTCTGCAATAACACTGGACTGCTGAAGCCAGTTTCTCGTACTAAAGGAGAGCAGGCTCTTGTGTTAAGAAAACCATAATACTTTTTTATTGACCCTGAATGCTACTTTCTGTAATACCCCAGAGCTCCCACTGACTGACTGTAAATGTAGCCAAGGGGTGTAGTCTCCTCACAAAGATTACAGCTTGTATGAAGAGATAGTAAGAAGCTTGAATTTAGCTTCTGAGAGTCAAGGCCACAAACTTCTATCAAAAGTGAGCTGAGTACTTTCTTTCGCTCTATTTTAACGGAAAGAGTGTTGTATCAAGGCTACCATAACCTACTTGAAAAGACAACATCAAAGTAGGTGCTATGGTAACAGTGCAGCTTTATTCTCAGTCTGTTAGGAGTAGGAGACATGGGCTGTCGATGAGTGTTACATTGGCAGATGAGGAAATGAATCAAATTTACCTCAGACTATCCTGGATAACTACAGCTGTGGAGTCTCTGCAGCTGTGGGGGTGGACTGGGCTGCAATGACATTCAGAGTCAATCTTGTGGAGTGTCAGCATGTTCTTTGAAGGAACGCAAGGGCTATTTGCATTCAATTTATGTCTGGAAACAAATTTGCAGGAGCAGGTCTGGCTATTTGCAAGGCTTTTCCCTCTCACTGGATAAATTAATCTAGTCTAGATTAAAGAAGACTTAAAACTACTTAGAATTATAAACTACTGTATTTTAAATGAAGTATTCTAGTTTTCTTCCTGCATTTAAGGTAACTTCTATACCGGAATAGCTGTGTGTCTGAAGCTGAGTGGACAGCATTGACTGGTACTCAAACTACTTGCATTCTGCCTGTGAAAGTCTCCTTGCTTGTGTGCATAAACAATTTTCAGACTCCTAACTGGGTATAGCTTGGGGATTGACCGTAGTAACAGCCAGAAGGCTTATACCCGGTTGTCCAAGCTACTGTCTTATGACTGTCATTTGCTTCTGAGGTGAACTGGGAGCCTCCTGAGCTTGGAATTGCACTAGTAGTCTGAATACATTACAATAACACAAGTGTAGCTGAGGAAACATGCTTTGTGTGAATACAGGTTTTGCCCTGAAATCTGTTAGCAGGCCATCACTGCTTCCCATTACCAGTTTGTTGAACACTAGCCAGATGACTGTAGGAATTCATTTGGCATCTGAGTGGAGGAATGTAGGAGTGACTTAAGGGTCTGGGTTTGTCATCTGCTGTTTAACTATGTAATTTAACTTGGCACCAGTTACAACAATGTTTATTCCAGTACACTGGCTTGGCCATTAACTCACCCAGCAGAATACAGCGTGTTAGTCTGATGGTAGTCAAAGAAAGCCTGATGGGTGTATACATATAGGCCAATACAGAAACAGGATCTGTCTTGTCTTAGCGTCTTTCTATGCTTAGGATTTTGGGCTCTGCAGGACTTCTGCAGAGCTGGTTTATTAGTCCTTCTGGAAGAACGCTTTATGTGCAATTCTGACTTGTGACTTTTGATTGTCTAATGTCTTGGGTAATGCATAATTCTTTCAGCATTCAAACTGCTAGGAGGCATGATTTTAGACTAGGAAGTTGTTGAAAATGCTTTTGATAAAACTGAGACTAATTGTTACACTGTAGAAGAAACAATTGCTTCAGTAATTGTGCAGAATTTGAGAGGAATGAGCTATGCTCCAGGGGCGGTGCCAAACTGGATCATGAGTTTCATGACAGTAGACTTAGCAGATCACCAGGCCAGAAAACTGACACTAGAATGCTGAATGAGCATGGGAAGAAATGTTTGTACAAACGAAACTAGCTGGACTTCAAGTTTTGTGCCTTAGACTCATCTGTTCTAGCAGGCAAACAAAGCACTAAGAGTGTTCAGAATAGCTACTGGCACCTCAGTGACTGAACAAGGATAACTTAACGTAAACTGTGAAGCTGAGAATAACTTTGATATGCTGTATGGCCTTAAAGTGACACTTCAGTAGAAACTGAAAGTTTCTGTTGACACCTTAGAGTTGTCTCCTTCTACCAAATTCTTGCCCAGTGATAGCCTGTGCTTCAGTAGCTGTCTGGCTTGCTTAATGAAAACCATCTATCCATGGTAGATGGAGGCAGTAGGACATG